GCAGGCTCCCACCGCTGACCAGGCCACCTCGGCTCTGAGCCAGCGAGCAGCCTCTCGGCGGGCGAGTGGCGAAGCGCTTGGCCTGCTCGGCGCCTCGCACGTGAGCAATGCACGCGCAGCGTCTATATTAGACCTAGCGTCGACTTTCTATTCTCTCACAGTCTGCGTCCTGGCCCAGCTGGCGCTCTTGGCGTCGCGGCGAGCAACTCCCGGGCCTGATGGGCACGCGGGAGGGACAGGACTAGGCCGTCAAAGTATTTTCTAAGGACAATCAATAAGTGAACGTCGTTGTTGGGCTGAACGCATAAGGCCGTGCGATGTTCTGTCCCGGCAGATGTGTGTGCGTCGAGCCAGGGCGCGGAGTGCCGCAAGTGAGCAACTCCCCGCGCAAACAGTACTGAGTTGCACGCAGGGCGTTTATTTGATGTCTACATACTTGAGTGCAGGTCACACGTCACTCCCCCGGCCACCCCACAGTGTGACTGGTGGCCACTCGCATGATGGCAGGACCTGAGCTCCAGTCCTGAACAGCACTGGTGGCCACACTAATTGGGATGCGGACTGCCTCAAGCCAAAGACTGCTTGTGATGAGTGCGACTGTCGATCCGCGTACCCGCCGGCGCAAGGGAGGTGCACACGGCCACAGCACAACCAGACCGCAGTCGGTCACACCGTGCTTGCTCACCCACCCCTTGTGAGCCAAAACAAAGCGTCTTGCTGCCTCAAGGGCTTGAGGGCGGGCGCTATAAGGAGTGCGCAATCATGCAAGCCGCAGCCAACTGGCCTAAGACGGGCTTCAGTGGGGCTCCCAGTGAGCCGATCTCAACTGACCCCTGCTGTCAATTATGCCAGGCTTGGCACGAGGCTGAGTGTCTGCTAGCGGCTAGTGAGGTTGGCCCTGGAACAAAAAGACGAATTTGAATAATTACAACTCTTTTGTGGTCGTTGTTGTGGTGGTGCAAATCTGCGTTCACGCGCGCGCGCGGCTCGTCCCTGTTGCATATACACAGGAGGACTGAGGCTCTTGCCTGCTCAAGGTGCAGCGGCCGGCGCAGGCAGCGTGCTGCAGTGAGGGAAGCAGTGCGTGCGGCCCCCCCTCTTGTGGCCGTCCACCCCACTTCTTTCGAGGGGAAAGGCGCCCAAAAAAACCAGAGTACCCCTCTGAACAAAAAGGCGGGCGCGAGCGACGAGCGATCCGCCGCTTGCCGCCCTCAAGCACTGCGGCCACAGCTGTGTGGCAGAGCGCCCGCCGCGCCCCCACTGCGCAGAAGTGGCGCAGACAGGGGGCGGCTGCGGCCGCCCGTGCGGGGAGTGCCACAACCCGCGCGTCAGCCTCTCCCCCAGAGCGTGTGTGCAATCATAAGCATTCCTGGCGGCCTCTCGGACGGCCAGCCGCATCTTGGACTGAAACATCCTTTGAGGGGACACGCGGCGGGCTGCCTGCAGTCCGCGAGCTGCGTGGCTGCGTCACGGGTGCGAGCGGCCGTGGCCACCCGCCGGCCCGCACGCACCGCGCGAGGCTCACTCATCGCACGAAAGGAGGGCCGCCCACCCTGACCGAATAGCGGCGCAGGGGGCTGCGTCCCGGACAAGATCAGATCGGTCAAATCGGATTAGTCAGATCAGTACAGCAAACCGGCCGCCTGGAAGGCCGAGCCCGCCCTCCATTGGCCGCTCTCCACGTCCACGCGGCCAACACCCTGGCCCCGGCCCAAACCAAATCGGATTGTGGCCGAGGCAGCGTCATCTGTGGCCCTCCGCCCGACTCGCTCGCCCTGCATCTGTGCGCGCGAGCCGAGCCCAGCATAATCGTTGTTCTCTCCTCCCACACAGGGCCCGCCAGCGCCCCTCCATTCAGGCTGGCCCCCGGCGGGCGCGCGCCCCGGCGCCGCCGTGTGGTGGCGACGGCCGCAGCTGCACAGCTGCGCCCACGCCTTGCATCGGCGGCCGCCGCGGGGCCCCGCCCCGCATCAAGCATCAAGCCTCCAGCCTCCACCCTCCAGCCGCCGCTCTAGTTGCGGAAGCTGAGCGTGGCAAAGCTGCTGCGCCGGACGCCGTTCTTGGAGACGCCGGTGGCGGCGACGGCGGCGGCGTCGGCGACGGCCTTGGCGGACTGGCGCTTGGCGACCTCCTTGTTGACCAGCTGGGTGGCGGACAGCTGGCCGGTGGGGTTGCCCTCCTTGTCCAGGCCCGAGTTGAGGCCGTGCTGGGCCTGGAGCTCGCGGGTGTTGTTGAGGGCCTGGTTTGGGGGGTGCAGGGTGGGAGGAGCGGGGG